ATCGGTCATGTGATTTTCGGGCTGGCATAGAAGGAGAATAAGTTCCAAATCAGATGCTGCTTCAGTGTTGGTAGGGAATCAGTTGTGGGAGATTCGAAATGGAAAAGTTCAAGTGAAGATGACACTGGGCTAACGTTTGACTTGTCTAAGATACACGCACTATTTTTTAAGCGGGATCTCGCGCAAATTTTCTTGGGAGATTTTCACTCCTGTTCAGTCAACTGAGGGCCGTAGACGACAGCCTACAGGAATCACTGCAACTCTCAAGCAATAAACGATTGATAACCTAAAAGTGCATCTCACAGTCTGCCCTTAGACCCGGGTTACGATGACCTTTGACAAGTGACCTGTCTAATTTCATCGGTGCTCTAAGATAAATGAGAGTATCGTTTCTTCATACACAGGCGCGTTCGCGCGACGATCGCTCGGATCTGACATCTCACTCCACTCACTCGCTTACCAGTCAATCACGATTATCGTTCACACAATACATATTCCAGTAAATGTTTCCGAAACGATTATCTGAAAGAACAAATCACGGCCTGATCCATTGTTTGTAACTTTGAAGAATAGTTCGGATGCAGCCGTACCAATCTGACGTTGAATACAGCGGCTTGGTTATGGCAAAGGGCGTTGTCCATAAATAGGAAAATAGAGCGCCTTTGAGAAACCATCGGACAATCAACTGTGAAATAACGCAGAGGTCATCCGTGCGTTCTTTGAAGAATTATAACTGCATGGAAGGCTTTTTCTATCTATGCCTGGGAGGCATCGTGGAGTTTGAAAGTTTCCAATCACCAACTGTGATAACTTTTCTCCAGTCATGCTCCCACATAGCAGTAACGCGACCCTCTCTTTGGATTTCTTAGACCCAGAAACTGTCTTTCCTTATTTCTGGGAGCTGCTTGTAATACAAAGCTGTTTCATCTACATTGAAAATATTACAGTCAGCATTTCCATGTCAACTGCGGTACCTCGATTCGAAACTCGTCCACTGCATCACGTGGTACCGATAAACTTTCCGCACAAACCCATAAAGTAATGCACATGAATTGCTTGTTTTTTTACTTCGTATGATCGAGTACCACACCTGTCTGACCAAGAGAGAAACCAACCTTGGGAAGCCTTGAAGTCATTCTGATGCAATCTTTGTGCTAGCTAGATTGCCTTCTTACGTACGATGCTTTCCACCATTGGGAACTCTCCGTGCTTTTCCCTCATAGCAGTAAACCAAGCCAAAGTTACCCCATTCACTGCCTTGAACTTTCCGTTGATTTTCAGGTGGCATCTTCCCTCATTTGCTACAGCGTTCAAAAATTCCCCGATAGTCTTTCGAAGGAATACAACATTATAGACAGTTTTTCGTGAAATTCCAAGTGATTTGGCTACGGCGCTCTCAGTTGCACCTGGCTGTTTCAGCATTTCCAACAAAATCTGCTTCTCTCTTATCGATAGGCGCTTGCACATTTTGACGTCAAATGACACTGTTCCCGATCACTTACGTTTTCCTCGCAAGGATTATCCAATCAGTAAACAATGCTATGAACACGTCATACTAGGTGCAATATCATTGGTTAAGCGCGACGTTTCAGGGTGGATTGTCAATGATTGTCTCGAACGTCGATCAACGACCAAGTGAGTACGTATCAGGAACTGCGGCATTGCAGTCAGAAACGGGAAGATATTGGAAAATGCGACTTTTCAGGGGTTCGACATATATATTCAATATACAAAGCTCTTGTTAATTAACAAGTAGGAAATAGTTGACCCCCGACGTTAGCAATTCTGCGCCGTTAATTAAATGCTAAACATTCTTATTCGGAAATGTATATATCACCAAAGCGTGGACAGAAGTCAATCACGCTTCTAAAGCTATCAGGCATCAGCATAAAATATTTGACTACTCATATCTTTGTTCAAATAGTTGTTTGGCAGATTTGAAGTTTGTATGTCGATTGTGAAAAGTTCAGTAGCCTCGGTGCGATTCGAACCCACGCATGGACACCGCCTACGCTTTGTACGCGCATGCTCTACCAGCTGAGCTACGAGGCCACACTGTGTGGCCTTGAAACAAGACTGCTTTCTTTTCATTTTACTTCCTTTAGTGAATATACAAAGTTACAATTTTCAGGAAAGGGGAAGCGGCTGATCAAAAAGCAGCAATTCAACACACACAATGGGGGAAGTCAGGCGGTGGTGGTGGGATTCGAACCCACATCCCCAGGGGGTGATCATTTGGTGACCTTACCACTAGGCCACCACCGCCCACTTTAAAACTATCCGTCGTGGATTAACGATAATAAGCCGCGTATTTTTAATTTCTGCCGAGTCATCAATCACAGACCTTATTAATGATCATATGAAGTATTGTGTGAATTCTGACAATAAGATTCTAAACGACTCCTCCCGTCCTTTGCATATTGACTTGTCTTCTTGTCGCTCCCACTCGAGCATTCGTTCCTCTTATCAGTATCTAGCCTCTCGAA